TACTTAACCATATTTTGGGGACAAATTTGTACCCAAAAGTGAGCAAAGCCTGACAAAATCTGCAAAAACCTCAATTTGTGGATGTCCTTAATTGTAAAACTGTTAAAATAAAATAAACAAAGTTTTTTTTTTTACTTTTTTGTTTGTCAAAATGCAGTAAGTTTTCTGTGAGGGGTAGGGGTGGGTGTAGGTTAAAAAGTGTATAACTATCTGTATATAAAAACAATAGAAATCTATGTAATGTCCCCATTTAGGTAAACGTATGTGTGTGTGTGTGTGTGTGTGTGTAAAATTAGTAAAAAATGTTATTGAATTTATTTAAACAAAAATTTTAATGTTTATATGCCCGTAATCATTTTAATGAACTTGGTCTCTAGGTTGCTGCTATCTATTGTCCACTAGAGGGCGATGTCTCACTTCACACCTTGTCCAAGTCAATTATTTAAGAATTACTTTAGAAGAAAAATGATTCACTAATATACATTTTTAGTATTAAGCAATGTATGACAAATTCATTACTGCTTATATATATATATATATACACATACTGATAAATGCTCTTGAAGCAATCAGAAATAATTACCTACCTTGGGGTTTTCCTTAACTGAACATAGAAATAGTAATAATAGAAAATTTACAGTCTGGAAATTACAACATTTATTTTTCACCTGTCATGCTGACATATTCTTTTTGTATGGACTTTAACCAGCATATATTAAATACAGTATTACATTCAGTAAAAATAAAACCTCAGTGATACTCAAAAAAAACAAAACAGTCATATCACTTACTCTCCAATAACCTTTATGTTTTCAAACTTTACAAATCTTGTAATCTCCCCCCCCCGCCCCCGCATTTAGTTGCATTCTGTCACAGCCACGGATCTTTTCACACTCACCCTTTTTGAAAATCCTCATCAGGTCCATTTCCAGGGTTTTGAGGTTTAAGTTTGCATATATGTAACATTTTATATTTACATTCTCTTGTTTACAAGGTCGGATTATGGACCAGGATGATGGAGCCAGTGTCTAGGGGCCTTGAACTGAGAGAACCGCTAAGACCCAACAACACCCAAACCAGCTACAGCAGATGTAAAACTGGTATAGATAGATGAACAGTGCTTGAATGTGTGCCAGTGTCTGTTGGCTAGGGTGACCATACGTGCCATTTTCCCAGGACGTGTCCTGGCCAGGATTTGTTTTGGCTTTGTTTTCCTGTTTTCATGCTTGCTGAATGTAATGATCGAAAAGTAGTTTGACCAATAACATGCAAGCATTGTACATAATGGACCAATCATGGCGTGTGAGAAGGTGGGATCTACGGTCAAAGCGATGCAATTACGCGTACATATTAGGTGTGTTCGACTTAAAAGCAGTGCGGCTCAGACCGATCAGTGTTTGACATCAAAGTACCTCGAGAGCGTTTCGAAAGCATAACCGTCTGTATGGTACTTTGATGTCATACACCGATCGGTCTGCACATGCAAATAAAGTCAAAACCTAGATATTTTAGGCAATATAGAAATCCTGGCCAGGACGCGTCCTGGGAAAATGGCACGTATGGTCACCCTACTGTTGGCACAATATGAAATTACCCTTCTGAACACTATATTGCATTTTAGATGTTATGTAGTAGTCATGCAGTCTGTTTTTGCCATGTTTAGACACATGGTTGTTAATTTGTGTAATTAATTTCTTGTATTTACTATACCATTTATCTTTACATACAGTATATAGGTGCGTTCACAGTTCACACTGAAAGTGATTTGCTGCAACATGAGTGACAGAATGTTATTGATGTTTGATGACGCAAATGAGTAGCAACATGATGTAACAAAGAAATCCAACTTGTGATACAGGTGGAAAACCATGACAGAAGTGTGAACTATGAAGTATAATACTAGAAACCAACAGCACAGAGACTCACCGACCTCCAGCGATTTAACTGCTGTCAGTGCAAACAGGCCTTTAGATATGACAAATCACAATTGTGACAAGAGAGGGCCTCCAAAGAGCCTCATGGCCTTGCAGGACCCTACTCAGTCCTTGCTTCTATTCGTTTTGTTGGAATGAATGCCTTGTTGCATATATTTTGAAGAGTGCTTTTAACCTTCTGCCCAGGAGGTCATGATTGGTCTCCAGAGCAACTTCTTTAGGAAGGAATGATCACATCAATTAACCACAGGTGGATGATTTGCTGTAAGTGAGCTCCTAATCGCCTAATTAACACCATAACCACACATGCCAATAGTGCATTCCACTTTAGATTAACAGGCACAAAATAGAAATGGACCAAGTAATTTATAGTAATACATTTGATAGAGTCTGTTGCTTATTTGCATATTAAAAATAATGGTTCACCACAAAATGAAAACGAAAATGTACTCACCCTTAGACCATCCAAGATGTAATTGAGTTTGTTTCTTCATCAGAACAGAATTGGAGAAATGTATCATTCCATCACTTGCTCACCAATGGATCCTCTGCAGTGAATGGGTGCCGTCAGAATGAGAGTCCAAACAGCTGATAAAAACATCACTGTATTCCACACCACTCTAGTCCATCAATTAACATATTCTGACATGAAAAGCTGCATGTTTGTAATAAAACAAATCCATGAAGATGTTTTTAATTTCAGATCATTGTTTTTGGCTCAAATACGAGTCAGTGAAAATGTTGTCTTGTCTGAATCCGGAGAGAAATATGCACCGGTCAAGAACCCTCTTTAGGTAAAAACAGCCCAAAACCGTTCTAAACAAATATGTAGGGGAATTTTGATGTAAGAGGACAAAAGGGGATGGACTTTTTCACCGGAGGAAGTGTTATTATGTATGGAAGTCCTAAGAGGCCATGGATTATTATTATTTTTTCTTTCTTGTTTTGTCGTGATAACGACTTAATTATCTCGTGATCTCGACATAAGTTATTTTCTCGTGATCACGACATAACAAAAGTTGTTTTCTCGTGATCACGACTTAATTATCTCGTTATATCGACATAACAAAAGTTGTTTTCTAAGTTACAAAACTGCACCAACAGGTGGCACTATAGACCTGAATATAACTGATGGGGTGTTGTATACTGTATATCCACTTTACATGTTTGGGACAGAATAAGGACGTTCCTCATGATCGCTATAATTTGTGCAGTATTGTTCATTACTAACATTGAATTAATTCATAAATGTTAAATGCTTGAATCAATATGATTATTTTGTCTATCGTTAAGTTCTTGCTAGATGCGTGACTCATCACAGTTTCACCACCGCATAGCGTTCCGTGTCATAAACTAACTGCTTATTAAAACCAGTGTTGACGTCACTGTAGGCCTATTCTGTTTGCACCTATATCTTTATTTGTGCATCTTTGAAGTAGGCCTACATGATTGCTAGTTAATAAGCAGGGATGTTGTATTTATATAGTACACGCTTCAACGACATATTTGTAATGTGCATCTTTTCCTTATTTTTTTCGTTAGTAATTAAATGTATATTGATAAGAAATGTGATTTATATATGTAAAGTGTAGCCTATAGGCTAATTTAATTAAGTGATGTTCTACAGTGTTGTAATCTTTTGTATTTTCTACATTTCTTTGTGGAAACCACACACACACACTCTTTTCAAACAGCATCCCAAGCTTGTAACGCACATGATATCAGTCACAGCATATCCTCTATGACTACTAAAAAATACAAATTCTATATAATTTTATTTCAAATAAAAGGAAAATAAAGTGAGTTGAATCGAAGCAGCTCTAAAAGATTTTAGAATAGTTCTCTGCATCCTTCTGAAGGCGCTCCGCCTGTGTTTGCGGTGTTGCTTTATGAATTAATTAAATGTCAGTAATGAACAATACTGCACAAATTATAGCGATCATGAGGAAGGTCCTTATTCTGTCCCAAACATGTAGAGTAAAGTGGATATACAGTATACAACACCCCATCAGCTATATTCAGATCTATAGTGCTACCTGTTGGTGCAGTTTTGTAACTTGGAGAACAACTTTTGTTATGCCGAGATCACGAGAAAATTAAGTCGTGATCACGAGAAAACAACTTTTGTTATGTCGTGATCACGAGGTGATAACGAGAAAACAACTTTTGTTATGTCGTGATCACGAGAAAATTAAGTGGTGATAACGAGAAAACAACTTTTGTTATGTCGTTATCACGAGAAAATTAAGTCGTGATAACGAGAAAACAACTTTTATGTCATGTCGTTATCACGAGAAAATTAAGTCGTGATAACGAGAAAACAACTTTCGTTATGTCGATATAACGAGATAATTAAGTCATGATCATGAGAAAACAAGAAAGAAAGAAAAAAAAAATCCATGGCCTTTTAGGACTTCCGTAATTATGGATTATGGTCTCGTATTTTGGCCAGAAGTGACAGTTTAAAGTTAAAAAGCTTTGATGGATTTGTTTCTTAACATGCAGGTTTTAATTTCTCAAGACATTAATTGATCGTCTGGAGTCATGTGGATTATTGTGATGTTTTTATCAGCTATTTGAACTCTCATTTTGACGGCACCCATTCACTGCAGAAGATCCATTGGT